CAGTGGGTTTGGACTTGCTGCTGTCCGGGATTTCTGCCTTTTGGCCATTTTCCTCCCGCTTCTCTGGTTTCCCCAGACCACGCTCCAGCATCCTAAGGATACTGAGACAGCTGGAAACTCTCCCCAAAGCAAGGAGGGGAAAACCCATAACTCTCCCCCAACAGCAGCTTGTCCGGCCTGGATTGTGCAACCGGAGGAGCAGATTTAGAAGGGAACGGGGATCTGCCCTCCCTGTGCAGAGAGCAGCAGGAAGGAGAAGGGGGGTGCCCTTTGCAGTGTCTTGGAGGGGACAGAGGGCAGGAAACAGGGACTATTGTGGGCAGAACAAAGAGCAGCCAAGGAAGGACACAATAGCTATTCCTCCTATCTGCCAGGGTCCAGCCCGGAGCTACCTGCTGGATTTAACCCCTTCTCACCAGTGCCTGCATCCCTCCTGCCCGGAGAGCTGCCTGGCTAAGGAGCAGCCAGGAGGGAGGTGGGGGTTGATGCAGGAGGAGGATCAGGGGAAGCAGAGCCATGGCATCGAGCATGGGAGATTCTCTGCCCTTGGGCAGGAGCTTCCCTGCATCAGGCAGGCAGCACGCGTGCCTGAACACCATTACTGAAACAGGAGCCAGAGAGGGACAGGATGAGCAGAGTCAGGCCTGACTCAGACCAAGAGAGATGTTTGAGTAGAGGCAGCACCCGCTGTCACCAAACCACCCTCCTGGGCCAGAAACCACGGGGCCAGGCAAGGAGGGGGATGCAGGAACCGCACAGCCCACCCTGAGACAGCAAACCAAGGGAGACGAGCCCCATGGCACCAATCCTGCGCTCTGCAGGCTAAATGAACCCCAACTTGATGCCAAATTTGGGGAAGCCCAGGGTGCCCCAAAGCTTCCCAGAGACGGCAGCCAGGTCAGCACAGGAAGATGGGAGCCCATCACCACCAGCAGCGTGGGTTTGTCCCCTTCGCCTCCGTGTTCCATCCTCCCCCAAACCCTCGCTCTGCTCCGCAGGAGTTTGCGCCGCCTCCCGCTCTCTCGGCAGCTCCTTGTCCTCAAGTGCTGTACAAGAGCCAGTGCCCGTCACTCAGCGGCTTGGCTTGTCAGGCGGGCACCTCGCCGGGCTGCAGCCCCCCTGGCTTCATGGCCCTCATCTCTAGGCAACCTGACCTGGACACGGCCAGCTCCGGCTCCCCGGTTCCCATGGAAAGTGCCACACAAGAGGCTGCGAAGCCTTTTCTCTGCGCCAGGAGAAAAGGGGCTTTGTTAGCTTGCCCAGGGGGACAGCGTGAGAGCTGAGCCTCGGGTCTCTGGAAAGAGCAGCCATTCCCAGGATCATCTGTAGGTGCTCAAAGAGCGTCTCCCCCCACGACCACTTGCCACCCCCTTGCAGTGACAGCAGAGCATAAAAGAGGCTTCCATTAAATGTCTGTACCAGGGAGAGACAGCAGAGCCACTGCCAAGCCCATGAGACCTGAGCAAAGAAAAAAAAAAAGGGACAAGATTCACAAGGAGGGGAAAAAAATGGTAACATAATACTTGGGGTAAGTTGTAGGAGCCAAGACTCACAAGGTCCGGCAGCCTCAGGTTGAAGGAGGCCAGGGAAGGCGCCCCCCCCCCCCTTCCCCCCCCTCCCTCCACAACCCCTTCAGATTTCTGGAAAAAAAAAAAAAATAAAATAAAAAAAAAAACCCAGTTTGCAAGCAAGAAACACGATTCCAGGCCAGAAGGAAACACGTGAAGACAGCAGGATGGAAAGGTTAGGACCAGGGATAACTTACTTGGGAAGCTGTCTAAGCTTAGATAGAAAAAATGTCTTAAGAGCAGATGGCAAGGCACATTTCCTAAGGAAACACCTTTTTTTTTCATTTTCAATTTTGTTTCAGTACTTGAAGGACAGAGCAAGGGCCTGCCAGGGCTCCGGGCAGGACATCAGTAAGGTCAGCAATCGGACTAGCTGCAACCGCTCCAGCGCGGGCGAGCCAGAGCAGACCTGCAAGAGCCCCCAGCCACTCCAGTCCTGCCCAGTTCCTGGCAAGGAGACCGAGAACCTCAGCACATCCCACTGCTCTCCCAGCCATGGGCTGCGAAACCGGGCGTCTTTTGGTCAACCCAACCTCTGGCACCTCATGGGGCCCTGCCAAACCTCACCTGCAGCCCAGGAGAGCACTCGCAGGGACCTGACCCCACACCAGGCACCAGCAGGTTGGGTTGCATCCCTACACTGTGCCTCAGTTTCTCCAGTGGGAAGCAATTTGGGGTGAGCTCTGCAATGAGAGATGCTCAGCAGAAAGGACCCAAGAGCAGCATTTCGGGGGCTACTGAGTGCAAGGAGCCCAGGTCCAGCTCCCTCCATCACTCACCCAGTCCAAACCCACCACTCGCTCCAGAACAGCCCCCATGGCATCAAAACAGCCCTCCTGCTTTGCAACACAGGGGAGCAGAAGGAAGGGGTGGCATTTGCCCAGGCCACAGCACCCCACAGACAGAGCAGGGCCAGGACCGCGGCTGACACCCGTGGGCTGCATTCCGCGGGTACCACCCCCATCCCTTACCATGTCGCGATTGCGGGAGATCCAGGTGTCGAGCAGCAGCTCCAGCCTCGCCTTGTGAAACTTCTTGGTGGTCTTGACGGCGATGAAGACATCGCGGGGGGAGATGTCCTCG